ACATCAGATTAGTAAGAGGAATTCTTAGTAGCAGCGGGGACTCTCATAAGTAGGTAGTTGAGTTTGTCACTGTTTCTGAGACTCTGGGTGGCAGTGTCAGTCTGTCTGGAAACCAGACTGAAGGTTGGATGAGACGGAAGTGTAGATAGCACAGTTGCAGGAAGGAACGTCGGGGTTTTCTGGTGTTACAGGTGTCCGGCCATGAGGCTCAAGCAGCACAAAGTGGCCAGGGAAGAGGAAGAGAGGATGGGCTGGAGGAGGCCGAGGGCCCAGCTGAAAGCTAAGGAGACAGGTCAACGGCACAGTCCCCCTCTCTTGGCCTCTTAGAGGTGACTAATACAAAAGTTTGAAAAAGCTCTCCTTCTAAATAAAGTCATCAGAGCCCTGAAGGGACAGTCTGAACTTCCTGTCCATACTGTAGCCCGTTGGTTTGGAAAAGCAGTAGCAGGAATTTATAAACTGTTTGGCCTTATTATGACAATGCTACCTAAAAATTTTAGCTGAAAGCAGACAATTATTTCTTGGAAAGAAAATTGTTTTAAAAGACTGTTGCTTTCTTATGTAATGAGGTAACATCTACCTTTTCACCAGCAGGTGTCACCCTCATTTTTTAAAAAGGTGAAAAGTTGTAGGGCAAAGAGTAACCAAAATTTCCAGCTTGCTGAGTTATTAAATGGCTGCAGTCTTAATTTTTCAAATAAAACAGTTGGTTAGTTGACAATCCATAAACAAAATCAAGTTAAAATTCCCATTGTCTTCCTGTGTTCTCCGACTGTGTGAAAACACTGGTATGTAAAAAGATAGATTTCTGTATGAGCCTTTATCGTTTAGGATGTACTCAGATTCAGGTTCTTCTTTGAAGAAGAGGAACATGAGTATTGCTTTAAGGCCAGACACGGTGGTCAGGCCTGTAATCCCAGCACTTTGGGAGGCTGAGGTTGGGAGGATCGCTGGAGCCCAGGAGTTTGAGGCTGCAGTGAGCTATGATAACGCCTGATGCCACTGCACTCTAGCTCAGGCAACAGTGCAAGACCCTGTCTAAAAAAAAAGATTGCTGATATCCTATTTCTTTGGGCAGTAATAGATTTAGAAATTTAGATCCGAAATGAGTGTATGGCTGGTCAAAAAAGTGCCCATTTGATTTACCTGTATTGGAATAGATCCAAATTTTGAGATCCTCCACTTACCCTTTGAGATTAAGTTAGGTGGCTGCTAGTTTCAAGGATCCAGAAAGTACTGGCTTGCACCAGAGAAGATTTATCACTACATCATATAAAAGACCCAGAGCTACAGCTCAACTGAGCGAGAATTCCTGGTTCCTTCTATCTTGTTGCTTTGCTGAGTAAGGCTCCTCTTCCCTTCTGTTGGGGTACAAGATGACCTGCAGACTGCCGGCCATAGCATTAGCATTGCAGGCAGCTGGAAACACTCCTGTGAGAACTAGTATGTGAGTAAACTGAGCGGTCTGTGTTTGCATGATATTCCAGAGGCCCTTGGTCTTTTTATTAATAGAAGAAATATTTAATGACATTTTTCTGTTTGTGAAACCATGTGCTAGTACTTGAGTGTATAGTGCTGTAAGACAAAATCCCTCACCTGAAAAAGCTTGGGATCTGTCACAACTCCTGGTTTCAGTCTGTTTCACTTTCAACCTTTATGAAAACAGTTAATTATGTTTAACATATTTCTGAGAAACTATCTCAAACTTTCTCTCTTTCAGAAAGACATTGCCATTTTTAGCCCAGCACCATTCAATAGACATAAAATGCAAGCCACATAAGTCATTTTAAATAGTAGCCGCAAGAGATAATGATGCCCAGGTTCTGGTAGTAACCATAGGAATGAAATAGATTGATGAATGTGAGGAATACTGGCAAGGGGTTATTTAGGAGCTAGAACTGACAAGGTTTGGTGGGTTGATTAGATGTAGGTTGGATGCAATAAAGGGAGAAATAAGGGATGAAGCCCAGGTGGGAGAGATTGAAAGATTCAGAAGCGTGAGGTGAGAAAGCTGATAAGTATTTGGTTGGTTTTGAGGTGGCTGTAAGACAAACAAATGTAGACATCCAGTAGCCACCTGGGGCTCAGGTCATGATCACAGGTTGATAAAAGAAGCCATGGGAGTTGACCTGGCTTGACTGTATCAAATATAAGAGTGTGCAGCAAAATCTTAAAGAAGAGGAAGCCTGCCAGGGGGGAGGAGAAAGGGTGGATGTCCAGGCAGACACTGTCTCAAGAAGGCACGTGTGGCCTTCACTGATAAACACAACCGCAGAAGTCTTTAGGGCTAAAGACCAAGTGGGTCAGAAGATACAGATCAGAACATGTTGTTGGATTTTAGCATCAAGGAAGTGATTGTTGCCTTGGATAGTGTAGTTTCCATGACGAGGAGGGCAGGAGGAGCTGGACAAAGGGGGGAAAGGCAAGTTGAGGAAGCAGGAAGAAGCAGCACGAACAGACTCCAGAAGGCGTGCCAGGAGAGGAGAGACCGAGAGAAGGGACGTGGAAGGGACGCGGAGGCGGGATCAGTGACTGTGGCTGTTTGTGTAGAGATTAGAGAGGTGAACATGTTTGAGTGCCAATGAGAAGGAGCTGAGTTCAGAGTGGCCAGACAGTCCCTGGGCCAAGCAGAGGTGGGAAATATGCTTTCCTTCACTCTCCACAGAAACACAGTGGCTGGATTCTCTTCTCTTGTGTGCTCGATGATGTCCATCATATAAAAGCACTGGCTGGATAAAATATAAATATTTATAAAGGAAAGAATTAATCTGAGACCCAGTCTTACGCTTCGGGCTTTTGTATCTACTTTGGAAAGAGTGGTGGGTTGAAGACCCAAGACACATAAAGTCCCACAGAGGCCTAGAGGGTGCCACCTTGCATTGCCTCTCCAACACCATTGATTGTGAGATGCAGCAGTGCGTGTGGCACATGCCACTAAGAAAGGAATGAACGCTGCCTGTGAACTGGTGTCATCAGATGTAAGTTGCACCCCAATGTAAGTAGTGTTAACATATGGAGAAATGAGTGTTAGAATTGAAGGAATACAGTATTAGCTTTAGGTAGGAGTAATAGGCATGTGTGACAGAGAACAGTGTGATACTCCCATATGTGTAGTAGCAGAAGCGTGAGGAAGTTTTTGCCCGATGGCTTTTATTTCTTCTGCAGAGTAAAGTCCAATTCATCTTCTGGGGATGGGGAGAAGTGCAGGCAGGGAGGTAAAGGAATTAGAGGCTCCAGGGTGGAAGGTCTTTGAATGAATCGTTGGCAACACGGCAGGCCCAGGACCGTGTAGGATTGACAGGAAGCACCGAGGGCCTACTCAGCTTAGGGACCATGCGTGCACTCGTAGTCGTGCCACACTGCATGACCGCATAATTTTCTTGGGAGATACTTAGCAATCTGAATCAGGGAGAGGAGAGAGGAGATAATGGCTACATCCAGGATTGGGGATTTGCCAGGCAGGGGTGAAAGACAGTGTGCAAAGCCCCTGAGGATACTGACTTGTAGACCAGGTAGTGGTCACATGATGGATGGTGGAGTCCATGGTGAGGGACAAAAGCTGCAGGCAGACTGGACCTGATAATGCACTTGACATTGACATGGCACGCAGGGGTACTGCTCACATCACCTTCTGCGTTTGGCATGCTTATTAGTACAACATATCAGGATTGTCACCCAGCTCTCCTCCTTTTCTGTTTACTGTGAAACCCTTGTTTATGCTACTTACTCTGATGTCATTTTGGACCTTCGCTTAATGGAAATTCATTATTTGCAGAGTAGGCCCAACTGTGTTTTTTTCCCCATAAATTTGTGCCAGAGTGTAGCAGCACTACAGTTGCTATACCACAAGTGCTGCACTGAAATTCAGTATTACAGTCACGTGTCACTTAGTGACAGGGATGCATTCTGAGAAATGCATCGTTAGGTGATTTTGTCACTGTGTGATCACAGTGTACTTACACAGACCGAAGCGGTATAGCCAACCATACACCTATGCGATGTGCTATGGCTTTTGCTCCTGGGCTACCAGCCTGTACCACATGTTACTGTCCTGAAAACTGTAGGCAATTGTAATACAATGGTAAGTGTTTGTGTATTTAAACATAGAAAAGGCATAGTATAAATATGATATAAAAGATAAAAAATAGTATACCTTATAGGGCACTTACTATGAATGGAGCTTGCAGGTCTGGATGTTGCTCTGGGTGAGTCAGTGACTGGTGAGTGACTGTGAGTGCCTAGGACATTTCCGTCCACTATTGTAGACTCTGTCAACACTATATACTTAGGCTACACTAAATTTATTAAAAAACAATTTTCTTTCTTCAATAGCAAGTTAACTTTAGCTTACTGTTAACTGTTTTACTTTATAAACTTTTTAATTTTTTTAGCTTTTTGACCCATGACTATATTCAGCATTAATTGTTCAGACAACCCAGAGTGCACCAGAACACATTTTATACATAATCAGAATTAAAACAAAATGTATATAAGTTCATGGATACCTGAAGATCCCATGAATCTTATAAAGACTGAACAAGAGCAGTGGTTCTCACAGGGTGGTCCAGGGACCAGCAGCATCAACGTCATCTCAAAACTAGTCAGAAATGCAAATTCCCAGTTTCTCCTCCCCCTCCAGTCTCCTGAATCAGAAAGTCTATAAGTGGGGCCCAAGAGTCTGGGCTTTAATAAGCCCTTAGGGTGATTGTGATGCAAGCCAGGTGTTAGAACTGCTGCTCAAAACTATCTTTATCTCCTTCATTTTCTAGATGAGGAAAACTAAGGCACAAAAGTAACTGGCCCAAGATCTCAAGATCACACGTCCTTTGTAGGAAAACTCAGTCTCAAACCTGGAACTCCAGACTTTAGTACAGTTCTAGCTCCAAAGCACTACATTGCCATTTTTTTTTTCTCAGTTTACTTTAGTTTCCTTGGTTTGGGCTGGGTTTTAAAGAAGTGTTACTAAAGGTTTGGGTTCTTTTTCCTTTTGTTCCTTTCAGTGCCAGAACCTACTAAGACCTGTTCAAGCCAGCCCCAACCTGCCGGTACCAGTCCTTCCACCAGCACTATCTCCAGCAGCAGCAATGGCAAGCGTGCATCTGCCAGTGGCCAGCAGCCAGCTGCATCCCGTTACCTGCCTCGCGAGGTGCCTCCACGCTTCCGCCAGCAAGAGCAGAAGCAGCTATTGAAGAGAGGTCAGCCATTGCCTACGGGGACTCTAACCAGTGTGAGCCCAGCCCAGGGTGCCGGGCCTGCAGGGGTAAGCCCTCCTCCCCTGCCTGGAGCCGGAACACAGCATCATCCCAGTAAACTCCAACCAGGTAAAACTACATAGAATGAGACATTCTTTTGAGCTGAGAACTGGTTTGCTATTTTCAGCTTTGCTGCTGAGTAATAAAAATAAGACATATTTTGGTCCATGTGACTATAGAGACAGATTCGTTCCAGTAGTTGGTTTTTGTGTTTTCCCCTTATTTATTTACGTTTTTCATGTATTCGTAGATAGCTTTAGCTACTTCAGCTCAGTTCGTTTCTCACCAGAAACTAAAGGCCTGTGCATCAGTTCATACGAACCCATCAAAGCAGATGCTGTACAACCCTATAGTGAAAAATTTTTAATAAAATGCTTTTCTCTCAATTTACTAGGCTTTGGAACGAGTGCACACACTCATTCTTTGCAAGGAGGTGGCAGCCTTCTAATGAGTGTTTCTAACTGTAACTTAGTCACACACTTTGAGCCAAACCTGTCTGATATCTTCTCATCTTAAGCTCCTGCAGAGTCCAGGATTTTACTCTGCCTGATTCTTGTTGCTTCCTTGCCTGCAATTAGATGTTCGCTTTCTCTTGGCTCCCAAAAGAATCATTGCTTGTTTATTTGCTTTCCAGCTGCCAAAATGTAGGTGTCTCTTCCTTCATCTCCTGTCAGCTCCAATTCTCCTTGACTTTACAGATTTGTACTTTTGAAAAATTTCTTTATTATAGTTTATGGGAATTTTTGGAAGAGAGCAAAGTATTTGTGTTCAGCTGCCATGTTTACGTTTTCAACTTGTGGTTTATGTACTTTAACCAATTATCGGTGCTGTTTCTAGAATGGAAACATACCTGTTGATGGTTATGAAATTCAGGTCTTTAATTAGATAAGCAAGGAGGCTTATTTGATTGGAATTAGAAGAAACATGTCACAAATTATATTAATACATCTTTTCTTTCCTGTGCTGCCTTTTAATATGGGGAATAATTCCAACATGACCTAAAAATATTTATAGCAATGTTTTATAAAACCATGACTTTGTAGTATATTCATAACTAATACTCTTACCTTTCATTAAATCAGAGGTCCCTTCACAAATCTGCCCTAGTCACCTGGTTCCTAATACACAAACTCTCAGTTTTTCTGCCTGGCTATTAAGGCACTTCACAGGCTTATCTAGCCAGCCTTTTTCCCTGCTATTCTCCATGGGCAACTTTCTATTCTAATTGGGACTCCTTCCTTACTCTCCCTCTCAAAGAAGCCATGCTCAGTGTCAAGTCTTTCCCAGTACATCTTAAGTGCAGTGGCATCATCATAGCTCACTGTACCCTCCAACTCCTGGGCTCAAGCGATACTCCTGCCTCTGCCAGAGTAACTGGGACTACAGGCACATGCCACCACGCCCAGCTTAGCATGCATACCTTGATTGTCTTTTGCCTTTCTTTCTCTCCAGTACATTGTCACCACCTCCCATGAAGCTTACCTTAAGTTTCTCTACCTTCATTGATCTTGGAGGTATAATACAGCCAGTCTGCAACTTACAACTTTGTACTTCTGGCATATTATATAACCTGGCGTTTTTTTGGCTGATTATTCATAAAAGTCTCACCTCTCAACTAAGTTGAAATATCCTATAAATTGTCTGAACTTTCTGTTGTATGACTAGGTTAGCAGAGCGGAACTGTAAGTGAAGACTTGGGAGCTTATATTGGTTATGCCACCAACTAGTACTTCCATTTCTTGTCTAAAATAAGAGATCTGAACCTCTTGTGACCTCTGATCTCTAAGGTCCTTTCCCTTTAACTTCTAAGTCAAACAGTGTTGCAAAGAGCTTGTTTGATTTTGTCAGTGGAAGGCATTGTTGTAATGCTGTCTCATTTTGTGATGAAATTGGCGCAGGGATTGTAGGTGAGCATCAGTGTTCCTGGAGGCAGTATGGCAGAGGGGTCAAGAGACAGGCTTATCCACTTTCCAGACCCACGACCTCCTGGGCAACCTTGACCAAATCACTTTCATTTCCTGTACTTTTGACTCCTCATCTGTAAAATGAAGAGGTTTCTATAATACCTGATAGGATTTTGGAGATGAGATATTTGTTTTATGCTGAGCACAAGGCCTTGCAATAGTAAGTGTTCGGTAGATGCAGATAACAGTTGTTAATATGGGACTTATGAGACTTTGAAATATGCAACAAATACACCCATCTTAAAACACTCTTACGAAGCAAAGTACTTTTTTATAAACCTCGCAGTCTTTAAATGACTAAATTCTAAAACAGTACAATAAAGCTTTCTTATCACTTTGTGACTTCGGCATATTTTGAAATTTCAGTTCTTCCTGGAGTAGAAGTATTCTGTAAACTTTTTCATTTTCACGATACAAGTTTTTTAATGAATTCATATCCAGGTGAAATTCTATTAGTGTATTCCAGAAGAGCAACCAGATTTCTAGTTGCAGTGAAATTCTTTTTAGATGCTCCTTGAAATAAAAGGTCTTATAACTTTTAGTAATACATAGATTTTCATTGTATTTGTATCTGTGTAATAAACAGGTTTTTACTCCTGTAGACAATTTTACACTAAAATAGAAAATATACAGTTTTACTTGTGATTACATTCTTCTAACTGCAGTTAAATTAAGAAAAATGAATTCTGGGTCAGCAGAACTAAGATTAAATTAAACTAAGCCGGAAGCAGGTGAGTAATCCTTAAGAATTTAACAGCACACCATTTCTACTGAAAAGTGAAACTGGGAATTATTGTAGCGCAGCACATTAATTTCTGTTTTGTTCCCAAGTGTATCAGTATGTGAACTCTTCCTCCCCCATATTTTAGTGTGCTTAGCAAAGATTAAAGAATTTTAAATATCCCTGGAAGGAACTGATGGAGTTTGAATCACCTTTATCATGGTTTTAAAAAGTTGTGTAGTGTCCTCTGGTTTCTCTTCAGTTCATGTAAATCTTTTACCTTTTAATAAACATTTTCGTTGAGAGGAACAACTCTGAGTCTTAACCCAATTTTTTGAGGCCCTTTGTCTGCAGGGCAATTAGTGGGGGGAAAAAAAACCTTCCCGTCCAAGTTATTTTATTTTATTTTATTATTTGAGACAGAGTCTCACTCTGTTGCCCAGGCTAGAGTGCCGTGGCATCAGACTAGCTCACAGCAACCTCAAACTCCTGGGCTCAAGCGATCCTTCTGCCTCAGCCTCCCAAGTAACTGGGACTACAGGCATGCACCATAATGCCTGGCTAATTTTTTCTATATATTTTTAGTTGTCCAGCTAACTTCTTTCTATTTTTTTTATTAGAGACAGGGTCTCACTCTTACTCAGGCTGGTCTTGAACTCCTGAGCTCAAACGATCCTCCCTCCTGGGCCTCCCAGAGTGCTAGGATTACAGGCATGAGCCACCCTGCCCAGCCTTGGGTTGTATTTTCTAAGAACTATGTGTTGTTTTTAGCTTATAGTTAATGTTGCTTTTACTTTGAAAGGTGTGAATAAAGTTAACTATTTTGTTTGAAAAAAAATTAAGCTTAAGGTAAAAACAGACTACCATTTCAAAATGAACTTTTCCAGGCCAGGCGAGGTGGCTCACGCCTGTAATCCTAACACTCTGGGAGGCCAAGGTGGGCAGATCGCTCAAGGTCAGGAGTTCAAAACCAGCCTTAGCAAGAGCAAGACCTCATCTCTACTAAAAATAGAAATTAATTGGCCAACTAAAAATATATATAGAAAAAATTAGCCAGGCATGGTAGCACATGCCTGTAGTCCCAGCTACTCGGGAGGCTGAGACAGGAGGCTGCCCAGGAGTTTGAGGTTGCTGTGAGGTAGGCTGATGCCCCGGCACTATAGCCCAGGCAACAGAGTGTGAGACTATCTCAAAAAAACAAAAAACTTTTCCAGCCTCATGCTGCTCATTCCCATTAATGGTTGATGCCGTAACTGCACTGTGGGTGTATCCTGTGGGTGCCATCCCTCGTGGAAAGCACAGGCTCTCATGCAGGCAGGGCAGTGAAGGCCTATCATGGTCCTGCAAGGACTGGGAGAGCAGCTGAGAGGAGCCCAGTGCAGAGCTGCAGCTGCAGCCCCTGAGCATTTCATTTACCAGAAGGCTGGCCTGAGAACCCAGGAGCCCACTGCCTCCGGTGGCGCCAGAGGGCACAGGTACTGTGCCAGAGGAACCAGGGCAGCGAAAGTACTGAGCTGGTAGGTGGGATTCAGCTTTCTGGGAGAACATTCATCTCCTCCCCTTACTGGCAGTAGCCAGAGAGACACAGTCAGCTGTCACTAGACTTCTGCAAGGTAGATGGGCCAGAGTCCTCCCAGCCCTGATTCCAGGTTCTTTTTAAATAAAGACTGTTACAGGCAAATGAAACATTAGCCTTCTCATAAGATCATACAGGGGAAGTGGATTTTTAAATTAATGTATTGATTTGGAGGGTAGCTCATTTAGTCAAGTGGCAAAATACCTTAACTGGAAAGATGAGTATTAGTGTATAAATATGGTACTTTCCACTGAGTTTACAAAGAGTGCCACTTTATTATTTCATTTTCTGTTCAGACTGTTTTTGCAAGTCTGCAGGATAACTCTAGCTTGAAACACTTGAGAGCTTTTATCTTTTTTAAAAAACTCTTATGCTAAAGGCAGAACAATGTATTGTTTTGGTGGCTGCTTTGTACATTTACAAACAGAGGTTTTGATTAATATGCAGCAGTGTTGGCTACTTTGATCTCTTTTAGATAGAGGCAGGAAAGTAATTAAGAAGTTGGACCCTTGCCAGTTTGCATATGGGGCTCATTTAGCACATTATGGCTAGTGTTGGCATGCCGAATGTTTAGGGGCTGTGTAGGAAAAGGGAAAGAAGAGACAGAAAACAAAGGCAGGACAGGACGCAAGAACAGCAGTTTATTTGCCTGCAGCCAGTAGGCAATATGCTGTTATTCTTTCAGCTGACTTTCAAAAATAACAGTAGAAAAGTGGCCGCAGTGCTAATTGACTGGGTCCTGAAGTAAAAACGTTTACGTTTACGACAATTTAAAGAATGTAAAGAGGAAGGAAGATCGGTTTAGTGT